ATAATAATAATAATAATAATAATAATAATAATAATAATAATAATAATAATAATAATAATAATCATCATCATCATATCATCTAAAGCTTCCAAGTGTCAAGAATAAAAAATTATCTTTTTTTTAGAATCTTGATAGAAAATCAACAACTATTACAATTAATCTGATTTGGAACTTTTTCGATAGACACCATGATCAATTCATTCAACCTTTGTGATATTTTTTACCAAAAAGTAGAATTTTATAAACTTCAACTTTGAGAAGATCTCGATGGGAGTAATTATAACTGATATATCAATAATATACTATTAAGCAATCCAAACATTTGGAAAATAACCATCATTTTTATATAATTTGAAACTTAAATTACTTTTTTGGTGTCTACGGCAAACGGTTTCTAAAAATTTACGACTCAGAAAATAAATTTGTCTTTATTAATATCATAATCCTTGTCATTCTTAAATCATTTTCAAACTTATCATATCAACACTTCAAACAATTATCATTTTATGCAATTTTTTTAACTCGAACAAACTAAAAAGTATTTTCATATTTTTAAATTAGTTGGAACATTAATCTAGGTAAAGAAAGAGATTAATCAACTATAAATAATATAAAAAAAATTCTAAAAAAATCGTCGGCATAATGTTTTATATCTTCATTAGCATTTTGGTGAAAGTAATTCTTTCTATGGATAATACATGAAATATAAGCTCAACTTCCACTTGAGCATCAATTTCTTTAAGGGTGCGTTTGATTGCAAAGGTGGAAAATGGGTGGAAAGAAAATGTTTTACAGGGAATTGAATTGTTTAGAATTTGTTTTACTGGGAATTGTAATTAATTGTGTTTGATTGGTATAATTTTCCACCTTTTCCGTTTAACTTTGTTTTTCATGAAAATTGTCAATTAAAGAAATAAATTTTATTAGAATTGAGAATAGAATTTGTTTGGATTGCCAAAAAGTAAAAAAAATAAAAAACAAAAAAAATTTTGAAATTTTTTGTGTACGTTTAGCTTTATTTCACATGCAAATTGTTAATTAAATGAATTTTTTTTTTTTTTTTACCCTTGAGTTTGAAATATGTTCCAATTTCCAAAAA